CAATAAGCTCAGACCTGCATATCTATAATGGAATAGTAATTACTGTCATAAAGTTCATATGAAACAGACTCCAGATTAAATACACACTTGGCTTTACTGGTAGATTTGTCCAATCCCAAGAATAAGGAGTGAAAACCAGAATATAATGGAAAAGAACTGATATAATTGGTTACTATAGGATTCTGACAATGGTGTATAACACACTGATATATTGGGTTTTTGGACTTTATCCATCGTCCTGGTTTTTAAGATAACAAATAAAAACACGACGTTTCGGAAACTGGATCTGTTTCCGTCCTCAGGTGAAGGAAAACACCTATTCTGTTGGGTCCGTTAGAAAGAGCTAGCCTCAATCACTGGACAAACCGATGTCACAAAACATGAAGATTATAAACACCTGAGACCAGGCTAAGCCCATGAGAGCTAATAAGAAAAATATTCATAACACCTTCCTTCACCTGAGGACGGAAACAGATCCAGTTTCCGAAACGTCGTGTTTTTATTTGTTATCTTAAAAACCAGGACGATGGATAAAGTCCAAAAACCCAATATATCAGTGTGTTATACACCATTGTCAGAATCCTATAGTAACCAATTATATCAGTTCTTTTCCATTATATTCTGGTTTTCACTCCTTATTCTTGGGATTGGACAAATCTACCAGTAAAGCCAAGTGTGTATTTAATCTGGAGTCTGTTTCATATGAACTTTATGACAGTAATTACTATTCCATTATAGATATGCAGGTCTGAGCTTATTGGAGATTGTACTTCAGCAATACAAACTACCGTTGTCAACTGCACAGCAAGATGTAGTGCTGACAAGTTTCTGTCATCCAGATGAAGCCATGAAACGCCGCACACTCAGTCTGTTATGTACGGTAGCAGAAGCTCACAATGCAGAGACTGTGTGTACTCAAGTGGTTGATTATGTATGTGACCAGTGTTCACACAACCCACATCTTCAGCATGACCTGATATCCAGGGCTGTAGCTTTAACTGATAAATTTCCTAATTCCCAAACCCATTGGCATATTGCTGCACTTATACGTGTCTTACCACTGGCTCGGGATAAGCAAGCTAAGGCCATACAAAGACGGATTCAGCTCATGTTGCTTGCAGGTTGGTGGAAAGCATTTTCTATTGTACAAAATTTTTGTCAGCAAACTTGAAGGGTAGGAATCTCTTGGGATACCTTGCCGTAGATTGGATAGTAGTATTAAAATGAATATTGAGATACACAGTGACTTGGTTGTGCTGGCTGAGAATGGAGTCCAGTGGCCAGAATTTTTCAACATGGTAATAAACCTTCAGGTTCATAAAAGACTCAAAATTTCATGACCAACCGAGCAATTATCAGCTTCTTAAGAAGGATCCTGTTCCATGGATGTAATCTACCAGGTATAATTTTGAATACTGGAGATAGATACACTGTTTAATTTTGGAAGGTAGGAACAGGCTGATTATTTAGCTTTTTATTGGGCTTTGATTCACACAGTGGGCCCAGCAGAGATGAGACTCTTATTCACAGATCTCAAAATTTGCATTTGTCAAGAAGTGATGTTTATTTGATTGCTGGTCTATTTAGGAATGTTTTCTCAATCATGCTGACTATATTGGATTGAAAGGAAGGATGACTGTGAATGATAAATTGCAAATGATGTGGACAGAAGTGGTTGTTCCCTCCCTGCTTGCTGACTCTTCTTAAACAGAACTTCATTACTGATTGCTATAAGAGAGTGACATAAAGTTACCATATTTTATAAGAATTGACCTCCTCCTGCCTTGAAGCTTGCCTTGCACCATGTAAATTATTTTCTTGACATGTTCTGAAATTATGGAGTGAATAATTTCCTGCATACAAATAGCAACTGTGGCTCCATTACTCCCTCATGAACATTTAACAACAGCCAGTTACAGAAGTGAATTATTGCTGCATAATCTGGTCGCTTAGGTTCATGCACATTCATATTGTACACAGACAGAACTTAATTAGTTTTGTGACTGAGTGCAGATCCCAGAAAATCTCCAGTTCCTTGTTCAAAATGTCTTGACAATTTATATTAATCTGTAACAGTGCCTAGTATCATAAACATTTCCTTCCATTCGCATATTACACTTGCATTGTTTCTCTTTGTGGCAAACTGAACGTATGATCCACCACTCTTTGAGAAGCTTTGATACACACAGCTTTGCCAGAACTCATTGCTGTAGGTATTTATGAATGGACTTCCAAATGCACATTCTGTAAGTTTTCTATGTTATGAAGGTTTCAACTGAGAGCTCATTGTTAAATACTATATCTTATTGCAACAGTAGTGATTGCAGACCATAAAATGGAAAGATCTCAGCAAGCAGAACCTTCATATACTACTGTATTGGTCATTACATGTATTTTTTGACTGCACAGATGACTCATGATATCAGGAACTTTCATAGTGATCACAGACATAACGAATGGTCTGTTCATGGTGTTATCTCATTTCCTTCTTTACATTATTGGTCCAAATATGATTGTTGCATGAATAAAATCTTCAGGCTTTTCAACAAGTACCATTACACAGAGTGGAAGTAGGAGAGCAAGTGTGTTGTAAGTATGCAGCAAATTGTTTGCTTCAGAATGTGCCACAAAGCTTGTTTGTGAGCTGCAAGGCATACTGGGCAGAAGGGGGTCAGTTCAAACAGTACTTATAAAATATGGTATTGTGACATGTTGCGCTATGGATGACGCCCCTCCCTCCCTCCCTGCCAGCCATGACGTGCCAAGCGGAGCTGAAGTGAACCGAGTCCCAGCACGCTGGTCGCTAAGCAAAGCGAGCAAACACTGGTTGCTAAACAAAGCGAGTAAACAGCGGTTGCTAGGCAAAGCAAGTAAACAGCAATGACGTAACACGGGACGCCGCAGTTGCTAGGCTATCGGCAAACGGCGTCAGACAACAGTGGTGCCTATCACATAACTGTTTTCCCGTTGTCCAGCTGAGGGTTTATAAGGGAACTACACAGTCACCGAAGACAGTTCTCAAGGCAGCAGCCTACAAGTAGAGTTGGAATCTAGCCAGCAGTGAGCAGTAAGGAGTGAGTGGAATTGTAGTAGTCACCGAGTTCAGTTGTAACGAGTGAATCGTGATAGTGTGAAGAGATTTGTGTGTGGGGTTCTGAAGTGTGGAAACCCATAATATTGTTGTAATTAATTGTAGCTGAGACTTGTAGATTGTTAAATAAACCAATTAACAATCTGAAAGGCGTCTTCAGTAACGAAACACGTTACAGTATGTTTATGTTGCCTTTTTACAGCAATCAATTATGAAGTTCTGTTGAAGTAGAGGGAGACATACCACAGCAGAGAAACCCCCTGCCATTCCCTTTATGATCACACAGTAAAGCATTGTCATGTTATCACAAGCAGCATGTTTCCATCTCAAGTTGAACACACTGTAATGTCTTCTCTTTAATTTGTGTATGAGCTGGATTTTACTATCCATTTAATTAACTCATTATTAAATTAATAATAACTCTTTAATTGATTATTGTATCAGGTCATTGTTATTGTAGGTTGTGATGCTGAAACATACGGTAAGATATTTCTGTTCAGAGAATGTACTTCATAAGAGAAATATCTTATGCTCTCTTTTTTTGTCTCTCTGGTAGGTGCTCCTTCCTTTCTCTTCTGATGCCCCTTCAGGTTTTCTGTTTAATTATTATTTCTTCTTTAGGTAATGGCAGTTTGGAGCAAAGAACTATTGCAAGATCCAAAGTTCTAAACATCCTTGGAAAATATTCCGAATCGAAAACTGTGTCAACTGCAGTTCTTGAGGTTTATGTGTGGTCTCTTAGCCAGTTCTGTGGTGCAGAAGATGATCAACTGGTACTTGAAAAGCTGATATCACTTGGATATAAAGTTTTGCACAACCAGGAACCCAACACCATCATGTCCTATGGTGTTCAAAACCTACTTATTTCCATCATTCAGTCAGCAGGCCACATTGCTGAGAAGTATGATACAGCCATAGATTCACTAGAAGAATTCCTTCAAGAAACATTGAAGTCTCATTTAGCAGATGCATACCTACGATGTACATGTATGGAACTATTAGCAGCACTACCACATATAACTGTTATTCACAAAGTGTTACAACAACCCATACAAACTGAAACAAAGTTAGATTTTACATTGTCATTCCTTGACAAATATGTATGTGAAAGTCTTGCAGATAATGCACTGCCTTACCAACCCAAACTTTTGCATATAGCAAATCCTGTACTTGAAATTACATCTCTTCCTTCCAATTCTACAACAGTACCACTGGCTGCTGCCATAATGTCAAGCCCTTGCCCTAGTCCCCTTAGTTCTGGAACTGGTTCTATTGTTGATTTCCCTAGAAGTGAATCATTTGGCTCAGAAGATTCCAGGTCTTGGTCATTAAGGAGGTAAGTAGTATATGGCTCTGGTCCAAAACAATGGATTTCTATTATTGTAAACATGTGACAAAAAGCAAATACTGAATTAGTAATGAATGTGTGTATTAAAAGTATATTGTAACGTGTTTAGGCACTGAAGACGCCGTTCAGATTGTTAATTGGTTTATTTAACAACCTACAAGTCTCAGCTACAATTAATTATAACAAAGTTGCGGGGTTTCACACTTTGTAACCCTATTCGCAATAATCAATTCACTCTGTCCTCAGTAGGCTACACATATTAATTACGATACGGGAGCTATACAAGTGTCACTGTATCACACACTCCCAATTATTACTCAGTTACACACATGTCCGGTTCTTCTTTCTGCGACTGCTGCTATACTCCAACTGTGTCACTGCTGATCACACACTTACTCGTTACTTGAGAATTCACTTCGTCGGCTGATACACTTTAACTCGTTCACTGCTGTTGAGAACTCACTTTGGCGGCTGATACACTTTACTCGTTCACTGCTGACTGGAGGACTCACTTTGGCGGCTGATACACTTTAACTGACAACAACAACTGAACTCGGCGACGGCGACATTTCAACTGACTGCGGCGGCTGTTTAGTTCCCTTGTATAGTCACAGCGCTTGCCTGTTACGTAATCGGTACCGCTGTTGGCTGACGCCGTGTCAACAGCGGTGTTGCCTGCCATGTCACAGTGCGGAGGGGGGGACAGAGCACTTACTCATCCGCCACGTCACTGCTGGGTAGGGAGGGGTTGTCCTCCATTGCGCAACATGTCACAATATTTAAGGAACTGGTCATGTTGATGCAATAATGACATTAAATTTATATTGGAAAGGTACTTTGTTTAGATGATGAATGGGTTTCTCATTGTTTTCCTCAGTTTATCCAGCCATTTGCTGTGATAGTACCGTAAAATGTGCCACATTTGCCTTCTGCCAAATCCTTCTTTGTTCACCCATCAGAATTATTGTCACATGCTATTTGGCGGTATACAACCTCAGCAGTTGAAAGAGTGTCTTTATTTAACCTGCAAATCAGTATTATCTTCTTGATATAAATATCCAGATTGAAAGATTTTATACCAAAATGGCATGATTTTCTAAAGTAACAGTTAATGGAGTAGCAGGTTTCAGTGTTTTTGAACCTTACAGTTTTTCCACCAAATTCTTCAGTTGTCAGAATCCATACACTTTTCAAAATTTTTGGCACACTTAAGACAAGGTTGGTGCCCTACAATCCTGGGATTTTTCCAAACAGAAAATCCCATCTTCTGTGCTCATTGTTATAAATGGTACGTTTCTTCTTCCTGTGAAGAGAATTTAATGTTTTATTAGCATATATCAGCATCTGTTACTGTTATGAAATCTTTAAACATATTTTTTTTTTATAAATTCTGATTTTTCATGGAAGTGATTGTTCTGATTGAGGTCTTCTTGTTTGTGACCTTTTGAAGATAACTTTGACCCTGAAGATGTGAAGGCAGCATATTGTTCCAATTCGTTGGTGTTCATCTATGAATTTGCATGATGTCACATCCAAAAAATCTGAACCTTTGTAATCTTTTTCTTTTCAGTCCTCAAAAGGAAGACTTTCGTGCAAAACTACTGTGGAGTCAAGAAGGTCGGGCAAAAAATGTTGACTCTTTTGTTTACGTAGAGCATAAAGAGGAGGTAACTCCTGTACCCTCAGACAGCAAGATTCAATATTTGGCAAGTCTTCTCTTCAACAGACAAGAGCGGGAGGCTGCAGGGGAGGAAGCATTACAGAGAGACCCATTAGACGAGTTGCTAAGTAAAGATTTTCAAAAACTGTCTGCAAGTAAACCTGGAAAGAGATGATACTAGGAGGTTATAGAGAAAGAATCTAAATGTTTATGGCTGTGAAAAGTTTCTGTCCAGGAGAATTAAAACATTCCCTCCTGTGGAAAATGTGATTGACATTTAGACAGCCTTCCCTTGATACCAAACTTTTTCCACTTTATATTTTAAATTATTTTATAAGCAAATAATTTTTTCTTAAACCCAAATGTAACAGCCATTCTCTGAATTAATCATCATACAAACTTATTTCTTGTCCTTTACATGTATATGATTTCAACTAAATATAGGTTGATGTCAAATAGAATCAGCAGTTCACTTTTCCGTTTTATGCTTTGAGAATTTAATAGTATTCTGACGCTGTCCGATAGAGAAATTGACACGTGGATGTGAGAAAGATCAGGTCATATACTTGGTATTTGAAATAAGTATGACTACACACATCCTGTTTTAGGGTTAGCAGTGGATATTTTAATGTTGCATAGAGTTCATATTTTGGTTATATCTGGTTGTGTCCATATGTAAGCAGACAGAAACAAGGTATTCTACTGCATCTCTAAGAATTACAGTATATTATTCACGACCTATGTTTAATTTCATGTATGGATCAGGGGTTTATATGTATGAACGCTCAATCATAACACACTAGATGCCTTTCTTCACAAAATGTATGTAGAGTACTCTGTTTTGATCTCTATAAAGCCTTATGATACTTTATATGCCTTTATTCAATAAAAGATTTATGAATGTTGTAGAATAACGTTCAGGTGTTGTCTTTAGAGTTTCAGAGCAATCCTGTTTCTTCCTTAGAACCCTACTTCTGAGCTTCACATATCTTGTTACCATCCCCATTTCAATTTCAGTCAGTATGACTGAAGTCAAAAGAGAAGTAAATAAATTAGGAACTGCAATAATATTATAATCCATATCCTGAGCCAGATCTATCCAATCCGTACCATCCCATCCTATCTCTCTAAGATCCATTCTAATATTGTCCACCCATCTACACCTTGGTCTTTCCTGTGGTCTCTTTCCTTCTGGCTTTCCCACCAATATCCTATACGCATTCCTCGTCTCCCCCATTTGTGCTACATGACCTGCCCACCTCATCCTCCTTGACTTGATCATTCTAATTATACTTGGAGAAGAGTACAAGTTATGAAGCTCCTCATTATGCAGTTTCCTCCAACCTCCTGTCACTTCATCTCTCTTTGGTCCAAATATCTCAACACCGTGTTCGCAAACACCCTCAGTCTATGTTGCTCCCTTAATGTCAGAGACCAAGTTTCACACACATACAGAACCACAGGCAAAATTATAGTTTTGTATGTGTATATTCTAATTTTTATGGTTTTGGACAACAGACGAGAAGACAAAAGGTTCTGGACTGAATGGCAGTAAGCATTACCCGAGTTCAATCGCCCCTTAATTTCCTCCTGAATCAGGTTTCGATCTGTTATCATTGTTCTCAAATATCTGAACTGTGTCACATTTTAAAAACATCTGTTTCCTGTCTTTATGTCATGATTTTGCCCTGCATTTTGGTGATGAGACAGTAACATATACTTAGTTTTCTCTGTGTTTACTTCTAGACCAACCTCTTTACTTGCGTNAAACACATTTTAATCAACCTAACTAGTTTCATGGGTATTCCAAACTCTATCAGAGTATTGTACAATACTTCCCTCCTAACTGAATCGTAGGCTTTCTGGAAGTCTATGAATAGCTGATGTACTGTCTCATCCTACTCCCAATTTTCTCCAGTATCTGACAAATGAAAAAGATCTGATCTGTAGTTGATCTGTTACATCGAAACCCACATTGATGACCCCAATAATTTCATCTATATATGGACTTAACCTTGAAAGAAGAATATTGGATAAAATTTTATATGAAGTTGATAGCAGTGATATCCCCCGATAATTACTACAGTCAGTTTTATCACCCTTCTTGTGAACTGGTACAATAACAGACTCCTTCCACTGATCAGGCAATTTTTCCTTATGCCAAATAGAAGTAATTAGATTGTGAATCTTAGAACATAATATTTCGCCTCCTGCTTGAATAAGTTCTGCCGGAATTTGATCACTACCTGGCGACTTATACCGTTCCAATTTTGCAATAGCACTTTGAACCTCAAAAGGGCTGATCAGGTACTAACGGCTCTGGTGTATGGATTTCTGTCTGCCTAACATCACTGACCCTGTGTACATTCAATAACTGAGAGAAGTAGTTCCTCCACCTATTCAAAATGTTGTGGTAATCTGCAAGCAGATCACCATTCTCATCCTTCACTAAGTTATTGCTAGGCTGGTAACCCCTCATAAAATCATTTATTCCTCTAAACAGGTCTCTAATGTTCTTGTTCTTACTGTTCATTGCAAGCTCATCAATTTTGTCTTTCAGATATTCCCTCTTTTTGTTCCTGAAATGCCTGCTGGTTTCACTTCTTATATTGTTTAGATTATCCCAATTTATTTCGCTTGGATCCTGTAACCACTTCAATTTGGCTTGCTTTCTTTGATCTAATAATTCTGAGCATCCTTCATCGAACCATGGCTTATGCTTCTTCGGTTCAAAATAACCTAGACACTCTTTGGCTTACATTTTTATATTCTCTCCAATAGTTTTCCAAGCTTTATTAAAATCCACCTCAGTGTCCAAGTTTTCTAAAGCCGCAAACCTATTTGAGATTTCAACACAATACTGCTCTTTATCCTCTACCTCATTTAATTTCTTGAGATTGAACCTCTCCATATGAACTCCGTATGTTGTTTGTTTGCTCACTGCCAGTCTTTCCCTAACCTTTGCCACCACCAGGTAGTGGTCAGTATCACAATCTGCTGCCCTGAATTATCAGACATCAAGTATACTTGAGTGCTGTTTCCTATCTATCAAAATATGGTCTATTTGATTGTGTATCTTCCCATCAGGAGATGTCCAAATAAATTTATGGATGTTACGATGTGGGAACATTGTACTTTTGACAGTAAGAATTTTTGATGTGACAAAGTTCACTACTCTAACTCCATTATCATTAGTATTTACTAATTTCATGCAAACTCTCATTCCCAGTTGTTGCATATAACAGTATAATGAGAGAAAAGTTTTTTCAAGCTTAATAAGATTAAAAATATACCAGAATAATCTGCAGAAAAATTTAACTAATTTACAGAAGTACTAATTATGTTAAAAGCAAAACTAGAGGGAGTGGTTCAGAACATTGTGTGATGATAAGACAAGAACATGAATGGGTTATTTAACAGCATTTTCAGTATTAAGACTTTAGGGCAGCAATTTTCAACCAGAGTGCCATAGCACACTGGTGCACCCCACCTCTCTCTCAGCAAGTCATGGAAGCCTCTCATCTACTCCCTCAAGAAACCACCGGAACATGACGCCAGATCCACAAGGCTACACAGGTTGATACGTGGCTGGCAGCTTAGCTCCAAGGCTATTGACCTGCTGGCCACCCTTCCCCTCCTCTTTATTGATTTCCTATGTGGCCCCCCCTTACCTTCCTGTTCTTATATAGCTGGGTGTTTCTGACTGGCATTCAGTCTGCAGCCACCTGCTCACACTGGTTCCTCAATTGCAGATTACATATACCCTGAAGATGAAGGCAATACATTCCTCCGAAATGTCAGTTAATAATATCTACATGGCACCACATCCCAGAAGACAGCATTCTTCATACATAACAGATGTTTTGAAAATGTGGCACAGTTCTAATATTTGGGAACAACTATAATAAATCAAATCCTGATTCAGGAGGAAATTAAGAGGAGATTGAACTTGGGTAATGTTTGCCACCATTCGGTCCAGAACCTCTTGTCTTCTCATCTGCTGTCAAGGAACATAAAAACTAGAATATACAGAACTATAATTTTGCCTGTGGTTCTGTATGGGTGTGAAACTTGGGCTCTGACATTAAGGGAAGAACATAGCCTGAGGGTGTTGAGAATAATTGGACTGAAGCGAGATGAAGTGATGGGAGGCTGGAGAAAACTGCATAAGGAGGAGCTTCATAACTTTTATCTACTCTAAGTATAATTAGAATTATCAAAGCAAGGAGGATGGGATGGGCAGGGCATGTAGCACAAATGGGGAGAAGAGGAATGCATATAGGATACTGGTGGGAAAGCCAGAAGGAAAGAGATCACTAGGAAGGCCAAGTTGGTGACTGGACAATATTGAAAGGGATCTTAGAGAAATAGGATGGGATGGTATGGACTGGCTTGATCTGGCTCAGGATAGGGACCAGTGGAGGGCTCTTGTGAACACAGTTATGAACCTTCGGGTTCCATAAAATGCTGGAAAGTTCTTGAGTAGCTGCACAATTGGCGGCTTCTCAAGAAGGGTTCAACTTCATGAGTGAATGGGAATTGATATAAGGACAAGAAAGAAAGAAAACTAAAGGGAAACTGAATCAATGGGACCTTTCTAAAGAATATGGAATAAAAATTAATGTGGACAAATTGTGATAGAGGTTTTCAAATAATATTGACACAAGTGCCTACAGGGGAGTGGAGGTATAGCTCCACCATTTCTCGACCTCAGCATAACATGGACGTTAGTGGTCAGCTTCACGCCCTAGGCTTTTTACCCCCATGGAAGAGCCTCTAGTACCCATTGGATTGGAGGCTGGGTGATCCCCAGAGCTGGTCTGGATGCTGTGGAATAGAGAGAAATCTCTTGCACCTGCCAGAAATTGAACGTGTGTTGTTCGGCCTCTTGTTATACTACCTGAGCTGTCTCAGCTCCTAATTTATCTGCTTGGGAAATGAGATAAATTCAGAAGGGAAGACTGATGGAGGATGCAATAGAAGAATATAATAAGTTCTGAATTCTGTCAAATTATGAAAGGAATGTTACTGAACAGAATAATCCCCAAACAACAAGATGACATTGTAGCAGCAGCAGACCCACAACTGAGCCCTCCAATGCAGGGAAGGAATTTTCCTTCTCAGAATCGGTGCATATTTCGGCACTAAATGTCACTATATATATATATAAAATTGGTCTAACATTTATATATTGTGACATGTTGCGAAATCCGAGGCCCCCCCCCCACACCAGCAGTGACGCGGCGGGTGAGTCAGCGCTCCCCTCCCTCCCCTCAGCGGTAACTGAGCGCTCGCGTAATACGCGAGTAATCACCCCGCAATGCGCAACGCGCGGTGACGTCACGAGCGGAGCCGAAGAGAGCCGAGCGGAGCCGAAGATAGCCGAGCCCCGTAACCTGGCAACTACGCAATGCTAATCAACAGCGNAGGGAGACTTGTATAGCTCCCGCGTTATCAGTACGTGAAGACAAGTGAAGATTGTGTTACGAGATTTTGTTGTAGGGTTTGTAAAGTGTGGAAACCCGTAATATTGTGATCATTAATTATAGCCGTTATTTGTAGACTGTTAAATAAACCCAATTAACCATCTCTACGGCGTCTTCGGTAACGTAAACATGTTACAATATATTTCTTTGACTGTTCTAACATTTAGTTGTGAAACATGCACCAGTTCTGAGGAGGAAAATTCATTTCCTGCATTGGAGGGATCATTTATGGGTCTGCTGCTACTACAGTGTCATCTTCCCACACTGGAGGACTGAGTTCCTGGGTCCTCAGCTTCTATGGAGAATGGTCAAGTCTCTCAGGGGCTGTGATGAGGAATCCATTGAGGGCAAACCTGAAAGATGTCTCTTGGTCAGTAATCTGACCGTCAGGAAGAATAATTGGAAAGCCTAGCAGTAGAAGTGGCTGGG